GTATTTGCAGCAGCCTTGAGTATAACCCATCCACTCGGTGTTGGAGTGCCACCAATACAGTAGTTTTTGCAGATGGCTTAGAAAGGTCCAGCAAGACACTTCCAGACTTCTGAATGACTTCAACAAGCAATGACATAATTGAATATAGATTTTGTGGTTCGTTGGGCGGGACAATGGGGGTTGAGGACAACGTGTCAGCATCTGTCTCAGATCTCATCCCAAACGTTGCGCTGTTACATGATTCAGACTATTGAAATCGCTTAGGCCGGGATGGAGGCCTCCTCGCCGATGATAGTGGAAAGAATCTCCCGACAAGGAAAATGTAGAATATTCGGATGCCAAAATAGCCACTTTTGGAAATGTAATATTTGGCTGGTGCAGGAGCGACATGCATAATTCCTTAAAAAGGACCTCCTTGGCATGAAAGGTTGTTTTACCTTGCGAATTTTCCTAATCGGGTAATTTTCTACACTGAAATGGGCCGCGTAATGGTTGGAGTGATCGTTGAGTGATCGTTGTTGTGAAATGAAATCATAGTGTCCTTGCCAAGAATTGCCAGATTTGGAAATATGGCTCTTTCATCTGACAGACCAGCCGCTGCTGCAAGTGTTCCCAAGTTTGCCAACGCAGCATGATTCCTTCGACTATATTGCAGTCAAGATGCCCATAAGCCCAATTTCAGCTGCTCACCTTCCTAAGCTATACCTGCCTGCCGCTGCCACTGCGAGGTACCTTAACAATTCAATTCAAATTTGCCGTGTTCAGTTCGTGTACGTGCAAAATCATCCATTTTTAGGTTTCTGCGCTGACATGAAGCGAAGCAGTGCATATCCTTGCTATCAAGCAAGACACCGTGCCACCTACAGTCATTCGAGCAATCAACACTGGTAGAATGTCTGCCAGCTCTGGAAGAAGCGGATTTTGCGATATCTGCCGCCATGCGAACAATGACCATAATTTCTACACCTGTACCGCCGCAGGCTGTAGAAAACAGTTCAAAATTTGCCAGACGGGCAGCCACGAGGAATTCAACATAAAGGGGACCGTTTACGTGCTTTGCAAGTGGTGCCTCGATCATCCTTACAGCTGTGCTATTGACGTCACCAACATGCCTCGCCTGTCTAAATAGACGGAACGTGGGATCTAGGGCCCCTGCCTAGTCGTGTTCAAGGGCAATGGGTGGTAGAAGGGTACTGTGGTGTTGAACAGATCGCTTTGTTGACATAAATTATGTTCTTTACACTCTTTTTTTGGCGATGTGGGACTCAGCTCGACGCTTGATAGCTGTTGATTGGATAATGGCTGAGTTTATTAGTAAGCCTTTCGATATCTATCAAAGGTATATAGCTTGCCATCCCTCAATTCAAACCACAACATTTACTCTCTCAACTCTCACGTCTTTGTTCATTATGGAGGAGGACGCCGCTCCTAGTGCTGAAGAACGCCAAGCTGTGTATGAAAAAGGCTTTCGCATTTGGCAAAGCCTCAAATTGCATGCCCTGCAAGAACCTCGCCTTCCCCTAGCCTGCTTCCAGATCCAGCCAGCACTTCTACACCAGCCTCACTTTCCAGATGACTTGGACCTGAAGCGCACTTATGACTATCTCTCTGTTACTGGAATATCAGTCTGGAAACGATCACAGGGGGGGCTCTGCAACCTCCCTCCGCTGGAACGGCATCTTCGAATTCCAATCTCGATTGAGTTTCCAACTCCTCTCAGTTTGGCTGCAGACCTAGACCGAAGCCATCAGAAATGGTTCAACACAGAGGAAAATCACCTCTCTGTCCTAATATTTGCGTGGAGCTATATCCTTTCGGCGCGCTGGGCTCAACTCATGCCCAAAGCCATACTTGCATACACGGACAGCAAAGCATACAACAGCGACAAACCCCGAGAACGAGATTCTGCTGTGGTGGATTTAGGGGCTGTCGATGATAACGCAGCAAGATGGTGGGCTGCTATTTTAGCTCCAGGAGAGGGCTGGGAGGCCTATATTCCCATTGAGAAAGATAAATTTCGATCCCCTTGGTCAATAACTCTTCCGGCAAAGCCGAAATTTGGTCTTTCCTCTCACAACCAACACCGTTTGCTATCGAATACGGCCATATCAGCTGCGACTGCCTTTCGCTTCCTCTCCGATTACTGCGCTCTACATGACATTATAGATCAGAGCTATGCAGCATTATCAGCTGTGCTATTTCTTCCGCTCTTGCATGGCAGCAGAAAAGATATTGTTCTGCCGAGACCAAACTTCAGCCATCGATGGAAGCCAAAAGTGGGGTTATCGAAGGGCAATCTACAACTTGACCTTGCTTGGGTGCAGGAAGTCCATCATCTGGACAAACTTCTCACCTTGAGCTGCAATACGAGAGGAATACATTCCCTGCTGTCAAGTGTCTTTTATGAGCCTGGCATAGCTTGCAATGTTGTAAGCCCATGGCTACAATCCATCTTTGCTGTTATCAACTCTGTTGAAGACAATCGCATTCTTACCCATATGCTGATGAGTCGAGTTCCGCACCTCGCCTTTATATGGCTTGGAGGAGCAATCATGGACATTCAAAAGGATATCTTGCGAGACGGCCAATTTGGATTAATACCTACTGAGGTACATGCTGCGGTGTGGTCCGGAACCATTCAATCATTCATGCAAGAGCCTATCCATCCAGCAGCAAACGACTCTATTCTGCGCTCTGACGAATGTCGACTTCTCTATCTTACTCAGGAGGAACATCACACTAGCTGGCCTGTATGTCAGTGGATGCCGTTTGGTGCCACAGCTCTTAAAGACACCGAAATTGACGTCCGCCTGCATGCAAATTGTACCGGGCATGGCCTTCAATATGCAGGTTGGAAGTGGACTTGCCGAAATGGTAGAGAGGTATATCAAGTCTCCAAGCCCGCTCTTGCACCAACTTGCCCACCGGCAGAGCCAGTGATGCCAAACATCACAATCAGTTATGAAGCTCTCGACCACAGGGAGGAATCTGCGTCTGAAAATGCAACGCGAAGCATCTTTGGCTGGCTGCGAGTTGAAGGGTACCCTCCACGGGAGAAGAAAATACACGAGTGGGTTAACATTGATGATTCCGATGATGGACGGTCGACGGACACAGATTCCGGGAGAGAGTCACGCAGGTTTAAGAACGGGACGTGGGAAGATTGGGATCGAGCCTTCAGTGCCCGGAAATCAGATAGCATGCAGCCAGAGACAGACCGCCATATATCCCCTGC